ATCTTAACCCAGTCACACTATATGGAGAAAGTTTCAAAGAAATTCAATCACTTTGATCGAAAGACTAGTCAAACACCTTTAAATACTAATTGTAAACTTGTACCCAATGAAAGGGTATCAATAAATCAAGAAGAGTATGCTAAAATCATTGGAAGTTTGATGTATGCTATGAATAATTCAAGACTTGATGTTGCTTGTGCGATATGAATATTGAGTAGATTTACTAGTAATCCTAGTTCTGAACATTGGAAAGAATTGAGTAGAGTTTTGAGATATTTAAAATATACTATAAATTATGGATTACATTATCATTGCACAAGTTCTGTTCTTGAATGTTATAGTGATGCTAATTGGGCATCCGATAGAACAAACTCTAAATCAACTTGTGATTGTTATTTACTTTAGATGGTGCTATTGTTGCATGGTCTTCTTAAAAATAATCATGCATTGCATTATCATCCATGAAATCTGAATACATTGTTATGTCATTAACTAGGAAAGAAATTATATGGATGAAGAAGTTTGTAAAATGCATTCATTTTATTTATATTACAAAAGGACCTGTTACTTTGTATTGTAATAATCAAGCAACGATTTACAATACTAAGAATAAGAGAATATCAAATAATAGCAAGCATATTGCTATGAGATACAATTATATACAGAAGATTGTGAAAAAAGTTATAGTCACACTTGAGTACTTGCCTATTGATCAAATGAAAATGAATCCATTAACAAAACCATTAAGAGGTGAGAAGATCAATAAAACCATGAGAGGCATGAGACTATTACCGATTCAATAGCGATAGTCTTGACTGTAGCTCATTCTAACAAGTTGATGTGGACATGTTGGAAATCTCTTGATTAGAGTTCAAAGGAAATTTTATCAGATATTATCAAAGAAATGTTAATGTGAGGTTACATTTCCGATGCATTGTTTATTTTAGGAATAGTGGGGGTAAGTCTATTCCAACTAAAGTCTCATATTTGGTTAATGCACTATTTTTTCCACAACAAGAAGGTTGAACTTTGTCCTTTACAGAACTCATAGATTGTTTGGGGTGATAGAGCGGTTGTGGAACACCCTTGATGAGTCTGCCTTTGTGAGTATGGAGGTAAGGGCACTTCCTATGGGTTTTCGGTAAAACTCTAGTGTACTTGCTAAGCGGGATCAACGTATGACCTAATAACGCATTGCCTTAAGAGGATCATTAACTCTATGTATAGTGCGAATATGTTTCTTAGACTTTGAATGTTACAAGATCAAGACATAGTTCTCTTGTTCTTTTAAAGTTTATAGGTTCATGTTCAACTCTAAGTTTAAGGGATCGTCCACCTAGGGCATACATTATATTGTACCTGAAATTTTCAGTTATTACGATCATATTTATTAAATAAGTGGGAGATTGTTATATATATATATATATATATATATATA